GGCACGAGGAAGAGTGTTAATCGTAAAATTTACATCTGAATATTTCCGTATTATTAAACGAATTTTTATTCATCCTATGGAAATCCAAATGGAATATCTCCCCAGAGTCGAGAGTTTCATAAAAGAATCTCATATTATATGAAAACTAAGTTTAATATTTGATAGTTTTATTGAGTGAACAATAATCTCGCAAGATTATTTATCTTCAGACGAAGATGGGAATTAAATCGATTCTCTAAATTACTAAGAGGACTCCTTCCCTAGGGAGTCTACCAAGCACGAATGAATATTTAAACGGTGAAAAGGCAGCTCGACCATCAAAGACTTTCTTATTATTGAAAAGTTCACGATAGAAGATAGCTTATTACTTTCAATGCACTCGGGTTTCCCGATAAATCTCGTTATTTTGATACTCTTGCAAACTATTATTATATCTCTTTCTCTCTCTCTCTCTCTCTCTTCAGGATCTATTTTATCATTAAAAACAATTATCTATAAAGATCAATTATAAGTATCGATAAATATGTATAGGCACATATGTGTAATAAATTGTATATACGTATTATAACGAATACGATAAATATAATGAATTTGCTTATCTGCTTTTAATCAAGTTGAAATTGATTTTTCCATCTCTTTGCAAAGTTAGCATCTCAATTTAAAAATTGCGTTATAACTGATAGTTTTGATTTTTCCTAAAAAAGTTTTAAACTCTCTGTAGATTGATTACAGTTAATTGTAATTTTCTCTCCAACAATTAACCGTAAAAAATAAATTCAAAGACACAAAGATATAATTTGCCTTTTTTGTACGTTTTTGTTATACGAAATTGAACGTATATATTTGAATTGGAAATATGATTTTTTAAATTTGAATATTATTTAATGAAATTTTGAAGCTCTCCAAAATTGTTTAAAGATTTTCAAAAAGAAACTTTCCTACATGAAAAAAATTCACATACGATAATTCGAAAAATTATCAAAACTTTATTTATTTGTTTTGTCGATTCAAAAATTAAGCATAATCGTTAAAACTCTCAAAGAGTTAAAAGTGATTAAAAATATGAAAAGTTGCGATAAATGATTAACTTCCTTATTAATAATATCTTCGGTAAAGAAAAATCGATATCAATTATTTTTCGTTTTTTCTTCGTCATTAGAAGAGAGAGGGTGTTATTAAAACTAAAGAAAAGAATATTGGAATAGTATTATACATTATGATTTATTTAAATTTTTAACTATTCAGATTCTTTCTAGATAAAGATACGCTTATATATGTTAAGTTTTTCAATCTTCAGTGTCAGAATAGAGAGTATGAAATCCTGTCGTTCTAAAGATTGCATTAGTTAATTTGATACGATTCGTTCATGAACTAAAAAAAGTCCGTGATATCTTTTAAATATAAAGGATAATATACAGACTTTCAATATCGATGTTCTCTACTTTTGCGTTTCAATTTATCTCGGCGATGTATTTCTGACATTTCGTCTCTTTGAGTGAAAGAAATTCGAGAAATCGAGATTCTTTTCTCAGTTTCGCTAACTATTCTTGGCTTTGAAATCCGACGAAATTATAGCGAGGAAAGAAGTATTAAATATCTCGAATCCTCTCCGCTTTCTCGCGAACAAATAAGACGAGCAATTGCATGACTTCTCACAAAGAATATATACTACTGGTTTACGTTATATATACATATATATATATATATATATATATATATATATATATGTACATGTACGGCCATTATTTTTTACATAAATGAGTTTCTTACTAAAATCTATTTAAATTAATCACGAAAAAATAATGTTAAGTTACCTTTCCATAGATCGTATCAAAATGAATTTAGGAGTTTTTTTGTTTTGCTCATAAAATAAATAAGTAAAGAAATTTACATGTATTAACCCAACAAGCACAGTCAACCGTCTAACGATGCAACGAATACCGTGCATTTTTATCGCACACTATTTCTCAAAGCTCGCTCAAATCGCCACAACGGCCTACTTAGAACCCACCCAGCCGAGCAATTTATTTTCATTTCTCTTAACGATTTTCAACCCCCGTCCTCTTTCTTTCCGCGCCCCACTTTCTGTACAAACGACGAATAATTTCGAGTTCCTTTCGAGAGAGAGAGAGAGAACGTGCGATTCACTCCGTCTAATCGATAATATTAATGTTACGGTTCTGAGGAGTTTTGTAACGCGATTACGAGCAAACTGGAAAACGCATCTAATGATTTCGATATCTCGAACGATGCGGTATTACGGATGGCACTGATTCGACAAAATCAAGTTGAGACTATTAGTATCATTCATAGATACTCCGATATTAAATTATGAGAATGTTTTTGAAAGGAACGATATAGCTAGCTGTTGCAACCTGTGCTCGAAAAAATGCTTCCATCCTTCCTCTTGTTACGCGTAAAGTTTATAAAAACCACGATGTTAAATTTTTAATAAATATTTCATCGAGTTTTGTTTAGCAGTTTTTAACTTTACTATAAAATTAATAACATAAAAATTGCAATTATACTTTATATATTTTGCCTCGAAATATTTCAAAAATTATGCATGTCTATGGATATCTACCTGTGTGTTGTAATTTATTAATTTATTACATATATTTTATAATTAATTATTACGTTATAAAAAAATTGCGTTATTGTATTTTAAATAGAACTAATAATATATTAATATTTTACGTAAAGTTTTAATAGACGTGACACAGAATACATTAAATTATTACGTGATATATCAAAGTGTTATAACATACATTTACCAATGAGACATAAGATTATTAAATATCTCATTTAATTTCAAGCATATAGATATATTAAAACCTAATTATCTCATTTAACTTCAAGCACAGACATTTTAACCTAATTATAATTTAATTTCAATTAAGAATCTTAAATTATAAAAAGGACAACGTTCTATAGAATTTTTAGGCTAATATAAGAAAAATTCAGCATAAAATATGTTATACCGGCAAATCTCTCTCTCTTTGTCTATTTATTTTTTTTTCTTTCATTCTTTGCTCTTTTCTCTTGTCCTGTCCACAAATTTACGATTACCATAGCTGAATACCAACAGCTTATAATACGTAAATTTCAACGCATACGATTTAGGATTTAATTTTAACAATGTAATGATATGATGTACAAAATGATAGATAGAAGGAGATGAGAAGAATGAGAGATAGAGAGATGGGATAAAGTTTGGTATTGTCTGCATACCACTGTATAATATAATTAACTGCATTCTACAATGCACTTTAGGAAGAGAATAATGATATTTATATAACGATATTTATATAACATCGTTTCCATCATATTTGCATTACTTTGACGTAATTTTAACAGAATAATATTCCGCATCGCTTGTTTATTTCATAGTTATATATTGCACATTGCCTTGAACGTATTTGGCAAATAAATAATTGTTTATCTGGTATTTTCCTTCACGAAAGTAATCGGCGAAAAAGAAATACACCGATAAAATTTACAAGTTTAAACACTTTTGCGAGTCATACAAATTCTTCGATCTCACCCTGAAAAAAATTTGTTAATTTGACATTAAACCTTTCAACTAAATTATTTTATTAATTGAACATATATTAGTATACGTTTTGTTAGATTTAATATGTTACATTTAATTTAAACATTTTTATATGTTCAATTAACAAAACAATATATTTAGTCGAAGGGTTTAATCAAGTTAACAATTCTTTTTATCAGTGCACCTTCGGAAAGACTTGGCGGCATCTTTGTCGCGTAATCAAATTAGCCGAATCCAATTAATAGTCCATCTCACCCTGAAAAAAAATTTGTTAATTTAACATTAAACCTTTCAACTAAATTATTTTATTAATTGAACATATATTAGTATACGTTTTGTTAGATTTAATATGTTACATTTAATTTAAACATTTTATATGTTCAATTAACAAAACAATATATTTAGTCGAAGGGTTTAATCAAGTTAACAATTCTTTTTATCAGTGCACCTTCGGAAAGACTTGGCGGCGTCTTTGTCGCGTAATCAAATTAGCCGAATCCAATTAATAGTCCATCTCACCCTGAAAAATTTGTTAATTTAACATTAAACCTTTCAACTAAATTATTTTATTAATTGAACATATATTAGTATACGTTTTGTTAGATTTAATTTAAACATTTTTATATGTTCAATTAACAAAACAATATTTAGTCGAAGGGTTTAATCAAGTTAACAATTCTTTTTATCAGTGCACCTTCGGAAAGACTTGGCGGCGTCTTTGTCGCGTAATCAAATTAGCCGAATCCAATTAATAGTCCATCGATATACGACGGTAGATCGAAGCGACTTGACTTGTTCAGCCCGCGGTACATCCACGATACCGTCGTTAACCACGTAGTCAACGTTATGTACGGAGAAACCGCGCGTTGTTTGCCACCGGCAATTCGGAGCATGCCTGATTGAACGTAACACGGCGCATACAACGCATCCGCGGCGATGTACGGTTGTCTTACGAGATATTAAACCCCGAATCCGGACCGTCCTCTGTCACGGAATCGGCCCGCGCGACCGAGCTAAACAACAAAAATCGTTGTACAACAACGCATATCGGCAAGAGAAGCCGATATATCGGAAGCCGCCCGCGAGGCAACCGTATTCGCTCGTATATGAAATCTGTTTGCCGGCTTTATTGTGCGCGTAGCTTTACGGCACGTCCATTTAAAAATAGCCCAGAGGACCGAATAACACTCGTCGTTCTGCGACGGCTCTTATTGCCAATCACTTGCGGCGGCATTTTTTTTAAATTGCGTAATACCTGATGGTTCTTTTTCATCGGTATGCATATGGTTTTCCAATTTTTCTTTTAAACGAAGATAAAAAGCCCGTTATGCTATAAGTTACCTTTTGTTTTTCTAATCCCGCTCTTTCATTCACGTACGCTTATTTCATTATCAGCAATGTGATATTATGCATGCTTAGATTTTTGGAAGAAAATTATATTACTCACCCTCGGCGACTTGCGTTTGTTGGCGCTCTCGACACACGGGAAGCCACCGCACTGAAACACAGACATAAATGAATTATATATAACAGTCTATTTCTTTAAAAATGGTTAATAATAATGCAAAAACACAAAGTATTTTAGAGAAAAAATATTTTGCAACTATAGAGATTTCTGCGTCAACTATTAACCATAGCTACAGTACGCTGAAAACATTTTTATGTAGAAAGTATTAGAACTAGATGGGTAACATAGATTGTTTTTATGGCATAATAAACAGTAGATGGTATGGTATAAATGCATTCGAGGCTCGCACGATAGTGGTCTTCGTAGTATATGTATGTATAATAAACGCTGCAACGAATGCCTTATCAAAAAGGTGTTTTAACTTATACAGCTATATTATAAAATCATGTCGAAAGAATTTAACGATCGATATAAGAATCCATAATTATGGAATTTATTATAGCACGATTATTTTAACTTTCGTCTCACAGGCGTAATTGCACATATTCAGGTAATGCACGATATTTGCATAACTTTTTTTTTTGAACATTGAAATGCATATTATTTTGGAAGACATGTATTATGCAAGTTTTTAGACTACAATATATTCAACTTGAAATTATGTTAACTGTTTTAAATTATCGAATAAATAGTTATACTAAATATTATGTATTTTATACTTATATTATTTTTAGAAAAAGCAAACTTATAAAATCTAATTATTGTCTGCATTTTAAAAAGCGCACATCAATGAATAACACGTGATTTTTATGTTATATGTTAGCTTAAATATATAAATATAATTTCCATTAATCTTTTTGAGCAATAGAAATTTTATAAAATAAAAAAACCGAAACCTACTATAAATATATATATATAGTGAAGTGAGAATTATTAATGTCATCATAGAAATGAAGAAAAAAATTCCAACATTTGACGAACAAAGTTCGATCGAGTAACATTAAAAAAAAAAAAAACGTACATTTATACATTATTAATTATAATTATATGACATGGGAGATATTCGAAATGATTTCATGAAACTCGTGGCGTAGCAATAATTCGATCTTTATCCAGTTCGTGTCTGTTTATTACAGCATATGGTTTAATGATGGAAGAAAACTGCTCAACTTTTCCGTAATAAGCGGACGGATGACACGAGTGTCATTCCGAAACGCGAGAGGTTCGCCGCGAGCAACCATAGCCGCCATACACAAATACCGCAAGTGCGGTTTATTATTTTATCGTGACGGACACGTAAAAATATGTCGAGCGCTCGTGCGCGATTTCTATGCGTGCACGCGACGAGTTTAATGCGCGGATAACCGAGTGGAATGGTTTTGCCACGCGGAAATATCACTGACCCAACGCGACGAAATGTTTTTTTCCACATTATCTCAACTTTTTTTATTTTTAAATATAAAAATAATTTTTCATCAATATATATACAGATATTCGATGTGCCATCTACGTCCTCTTTTCATTTCATATATCTTTCGTCGCATTAATATTGTCTACACAAATTTTCCCCTAAATTTCAGAATGTAATTTCAAAGAATACTTTCTTTCTGCTCCTTTGCAAAATATCCATTGAAAACGGACTTTCGCAAATTCATATAAAATTTACATTAACATTTAGCATATATTTCCACTGAAATGCAATGTCCTTGTCAAAAATGTGAAATTCAAAACGATGTCTGGAACGTGAACGAATTACGAGAGAAGGACGCGAAGGAAGGACGCTCGGTTTTGTCGATGATTTGCCGAGCGGTCGCAACGGAAGAATAGAATTGCTTTCCGCTTCTGGCGGAATTCCTACCATATTCCCCGGACATGCTACTTCCGATTATATATATATACCGCGTTTCTACTTCTGTCAGATTTAATTTAAAAATAATCGCGCTGCGTTGTGATTATATGCATGTATATATTTTTAAAATTTTTCAATCTAAAAAAAGAAAGAAATACAATATGAATAATAAATAAAAATATTAACGTTAACCACTTCATAAAACGTATAAAATGTTGTACTGAAAAATATGCTAAGAGAAATGTACAATATAAATTCCGTACATATAAATTCCGAAAAACATTTAGAATTAATTTTTTATACATACACGAGAAAAAATCTCTTCATGGCTCTTCAGTTTATACAAAAATTCACTATTAATTTATATTTGTTTTTTTTTTTTTTTTTTTCGTGCAAAATATATAGTAAACACATAAGCATTTCGAAAGATGACAATTCGATCTTTCACTTTTGCTACGTCAGCCTTCTTTCACGAAAGATTCACGGTCGACAAGAGGGAGAACAGCACTTTATTCCATCGCTTGGTCCACGCTTCGCGATGATTAAGTCTTCCCCGGAGTTTTATCCTCGGAGGGCGAAAAAAAGTTCCACGGGGAAGACTTGAACTCCCTCTTTCCGTCTAGAATGGTTTTATCTTCGATCACGCTTCGTGCTGCGATGCGGTCTCGTTTGCGCAAAGTCGAGCGAGATAATCGATACGTCTTCGTCCGCTCTCGCCATCTAAAAGCCGCCGAGATGCTATTTCTCGTCGTTCCCTTTGCCCTTCGTTGTGCGATCTTTTATTATGCGCGTTCAAGGCTATAAAGAGCGATTCACATACACACGTACACACTGTGTCATTTTTTCTCATCGTTAAGTAACAACACAAGCATGGCAGAGAAAACGCGCAAAAATAAAGAGAGAACTCAATTCATTAAAGAAACTCGAAACTTTCAAAAGTCTATTTTTTTTTTTTTTTTTTATTACAATTAAAAAACAATCAAATTTGCCGATTATAGAATAAAAGAGAATTATAAATATCATTAATATATATAAGTAAAACAAATAATGGCATTAATCTCTCTTTCTGTTCTAGATAATATAATATAATATACATAAATAAATATAAAATAACGTAAAAAAATATCATCTGTAAATTATAAATAAAATCTAAATAAAATATTTGTCGCTAGTTCAGAGCTTCCTCTTATAAAAAGAATGTGCGACCGCAATCTGGCACGAGCGTAAAAATATACGACGGACAATGCGATTTAAAAAATAAACGCACTTAATATGCGAAACGTTCTCGTGCAATATTAACGACCGATCGTAAATACCGAAATGCGTAGCCGAGATTATAGCATATGTTCGAGGCGATTCATCGAATCGATTTCCGATCAACTATTCGGATAGACATCCGATCGCTAGCACTTCTGTCAACAAAATTACACATTGACATTGTGTATTTTGAGTTTGGACCGGACAAAAAGCCGATTCGTTTTTTAAGGAAACAGAATAATATCGATCGGTTCGCACAATATAATTCTCATGTAATAATGTTCTCATGGAATAATAATGTAAATATAACAAGGCAAATTCAAATTTGTCGTAAACTGCTTGTGCAAACCGGTAAGTAATTTAGGGCGCACTCGATTAACGCTAACGGCAATATTTATCAGCGATTGACACAAACTTCGCCGGCTGTAAATCATCGAAAGGCCCATGTCAACGGGGATTTTCATTTTTGATCGTTGACAGGAATGGCCGACCGTTACCTCGCTCAACAAAAATTAATTCAGTTTTACAAGCACTCCCCTTACATTTATGTCTCTATATCTCCCTACAACCGACGTGTGTCTAAACCATTCGTTTAAATGGACTCGCAACGCTATCCAGGATGGATAGCAACCGCTACCTGCGTATGCTATAAAAAAAAAGGAAATACATTTTAATTAAAATAAAAAATTATACAGAAATTCAATTTCGCGCGGGTTTATTACAGTAGAATTCGCATCAGCTCTGAAAATTTTCGTTATTATAAATGTTCATTATGATGGAGATAATATTCTGTTATTTTCAATATACGCATACGAAACCGATAAATTTACTTGTTCCATTTGTATAGAGACGGCAAATTTTTTCACAATAATTGATTAAATATAAATTTCCATATGGATTTCTATTAATCTTGGAGTTAAATTCAACAGCGCGCGCGCAGTTTAATTATGTCATCGATCATCTGCCATTACGTACTCAGGATATGTGAAAGATAATGCTACAGTAAATGTTCTTACAATGATATTAACAAGTAGATCTAAGTTTAGTTGTTTGTCTATTAGCAACTATCAGAGAAACTAAAATGTAATAAGTACGAGATGTTTGTTGAATCAGAATTATGAATAAGCAATTGACGACACAAATAGATTTTACGAATATAAATTGTGTCCTGATTTTAAATTAATAATTTTTTGATATCACTTATTTTTACTTATACTCTATCGTGAATAAATCAATAATCATACTGCGTTATATTTAAGCTGTACATTTAGCTTACTCTTGTAAAGTCTCTTGGTAAGTCTTGGTAAGTCTATAAAAGAAGAATAAAATAAAAATAAAAATTCAAAATAAAAATTATATTTGTAAAAATCTTAGATATATCTTGTATATTTGTGCATAGAAATATCCTTATTAAATTAAAATTAAAATGACATATACATATATGTCATGTGTTGAAACGTGCAAAATATTCACTTCATATATCACTTTTACATTCTCACATAGATGAATTGAAGCTCCTTGGTCCTCACCGCGGCCATGTTATATTGTGACATCAGAGCGAGAAAATAAACGTTGAAAATTTTTGCGCGTGTGCCACTTTTAGATAAAAATATTCTAATGAAATACAATTTTAGATCGCGTTTTAACACACTTTTAAAATACTCCGAAAACTATTTTTTTCCTTGACAGTCAATCAATAATCATAAAATAAATGAATAATTAAGACTTTGTCATGCGGAATGACTGCGCATATGCAAGGATATATACGGATCGGGTCTCATGTCACTTTACAGCTATTGATTGATTATAAGGGCAAAATTGTTAGTTTTTAGAATATTTTAAAAATGTATTAAAGCCATCTAAATTTGTGTTTCGTCAAAATATCTTTTCAAAAATGACACACAAAAATTTTCAACTTATATTTTCTCGCCTCTGACGTCACAATTTAACATGGCCGCAGCGAGAACCAAAGAGCCTTAAAAGT